GAATCCAGGCTGCCTGGGTTCGACGTCCTGTGCAGCTACTTTTGAGCTGTGTGACCTTGGGCAATTGACTTAACTTCTCTGAGCCACAGATTCTTTATCTGCAAAGTGGGCTCAATAACAACACTACAGTTGTTTTGAGGCTGAGCGGAGAGAGGATCTGTGTGAAGTGCTTAGCTTCTCCACGTCTGGCACATGGTAATCATTGGCAACTTTTGTCGGGCATCTGCTGTTATTACTAAAGTTGTTTGGCCAAGTGGGCTGATCCTGTGAGGATGATCAGTGGCTGATTCACAGGGTGGGAGTACGAGCTGCAGGTCTGGGTCCCAAGCCTGGGCCCCAGGAGACCCAGACTGACCTTGGGGCAGTCCCTGGGCTCGGTCTGCACCAGCTTCCTCTTCTGCCCCCAGGGAACCTAGGGGGTTCTGGTGCGAGCTTCCTCTTCTGGAGGATGGAGTGTGATTGGGTGGCTGATGGGAGGCCGAGATGACACTGGCTATATGGCTGCACATAGCCTCAGCCCCGTAATGCTTTTTCCCATCTGCATCCCTGCTGTTCTTGGTCCTGGTTTTTGGAGGGCAGGAGCCTTGTGCCATGCATCCTTGGGTCCCAGTGCCCGCTTGGATCTGGCACAGGGTATATATACTCCCCCTGCATCCTGACTCTGCCCAGCAGTGCCCTGTCCTTGGGCAGGCTTCAGCAGACTGGTGACCCTGGACTTTAGAGCTTGTTTTTCTAGGAGCTGTGGGTGAGATCCGAGGGTCAGGCCACCCTTGGCCCAGGGAGGCAGGATTGAGGGTCCACGGAGCGGGAGAGTGGAGGATTGGTCCTGTATGTTTTGGGGGATCCAGATGGCCTCGGGTGCTAGCCTTCATCCTGACTGAGGGAACTTTCCAGGAGCTGCTACAGAGGTTGGGGGTGGGGAGGTATGTTCTGTCCCTCCCCCTCCCGCCCCCCGCGGAGCGCCCAGAGCCTCCAGGCTCTTGGCTCTGCTCTGTCCACCAGGCTGGCCCCGTCCTCTGCACTTGGAAGACCCCCTCCTTTGATCTCCTGGGCCCCACTTCTGGGGGCACATCCCACATTTTGGCTCTTCAGTCTTGGGCAATGCACTCAAACTCTCTGTGCCTCAGTTTCCTTATCTGTAAAGTGGGACCGATACCGGTGAGCTGTGTTAGCCACAGGGTTGTTGGGAGGATGAAGCAAGTGTATGGAATGAGTGTTGAGCTAATTTGATGATTGTTCTGAGAGGGTGCAGGTTTCCCACGCGCTATCCTGGGCGTCGACCCAGCCCAAGCTGTGGCATCCCTGTCCTACCCTGTGTGCTTGCCTGGATCAGGGTGAGGGGTCAGCTGACTTGCAGGAGATACCTTGGCTCAGAAGGGCATGAGGGAAGTCGGGAGAGGCAAAACAAGTGGGTAGGGTCCAGCCTGGGCCACGGGGGTTCAGGGGACACCAGCCAGCCACCCTCATGCTTCACATGTCCCCTGGGCTCTGATTCCCGGTGGCACCCCACTCTCCCTGCCTCCTAGCACGTGGAGACAGCTGCCCCTTCATGGGCTCAGACCTCTTGGGAATCCACCTGCCCTTGCACTCAGGCTGCCAGCTTCCTGGAGTCTATTGGGACAGGTGTGGGGACCCATGCGGAGGGTCCCGGGAGTGGCTTTGGGTTGGAGAGCGGGCTCAGGGGTGGGAGCCGCCGACCACAATCCCCATGAGGGCAGGGGCCCCTCTAACTTATCACTGTGTCTCTGGGCTTGGAACACTCAGCGGGCATTTATCAAGCACCTGCTGTGCACTGGTAATAGGGCTGGGGATCAAAATGGTAAAATGCAAGGCAATGGCAGGTGTGGGGTGCTGGGGCGTCTGGAGCCAGGGTGGTCTGGGAAGGTACCCTCCCAGAGGCACCCACGGAGAAAGTCCTGAATGGTAAGAAGGAGCCAGTCACGGGAGAGTCAGGAAAGAACATTCCAGGAAGGAGGAACAGAAAGTTCAGAGGGTTTGAGGTGGGAGGGCAGGGAGGGTGTGAAGAAATCCAGGGAGGCAGGGAGTTTTGCTTCTCTGCTGATGCCAGGAAGGGCTCTGAGCAGTGGGTGATGTGAGCAGAGTTTTTAAACCATCATTTCTGAGGAAATACTTGCTGAGTGAATGCAGGGACAAACAACTCACTTGGGGCGGGGAGGGGTGGCGCCAGTAAGCACAGGCCAGGCATGCCCATGGCCTGGTCAACTGGGCTCTGTGCACTTGGGGGTGAGAGTCCTCCTGGCCTGGGGCGGGGGCAACAGATAGGGTTTTCCGGTCACCAGTCCTCTCAAAGGGTCCCTCTGAGCTGGGGCTGCCTCTGTCTCAGTTTCCCCATCAGTCCTGGGACCATGTGGCTTTCCCCTGGACTGGTAGGCGCCTCCTAGGCTCCCTGGCAGGTTTGGCCCCTGGGGGTCCCCCCTCCTCAGGTCTTGCCGCCATTGTTTGATTTCCTACTTCCTGCCCCCAAACACACATATACTTCCCCTTTTCTGAATTGATACTGCATTGCCTTCCTGTCCAGGGGCCTGGTAGGAGGGCAGGCACCCCAGCAGGTGCCGGACACAAGAGGGCCAGGGGAGGGACAAGGCAGGTGGGCGTCCTCTGTAGCAGGAAGAGCAGTTCACCTGGCACAGCTGGCACGCTGTCCGGCGGGGGAGGGGGGGTACCTGTCCTGTCTGGAGGCCTGAGGGGACAGGCTGAGAGGGATGGTGGGAGCTGATGGCAGCCCTGCTGGTGGCAGGGAAGAGGCCAGGATAGTCTGTGCACTTGGCAGCCGAGCAGTGTGCAGGGCCCCTCCTGGAGCACACAGCCTGATGGGGGAGGCAGGTGCCAACCAGATGGCCATGCTGTGGAAGCCAGGGTTGCACACTGAAGCAAGCGCCCTGGAGGGAGGGCAGGAGTAGGTGCAGGTGCAGGATGAGGAGACCCTCCTGGGCTGCGGGGCCTGGCAGGCGTCCCTTACTGAGCTGGAGTTAACCAGGGCCCGCCGGGGTTTCTCACCCTCCGCACTGCTGATATTTGGGGTCGGATCTCTGTTAATGGGGGCTGTCCCCTGCACCGTGGGATGTTTAGCACTCTCCTGGTCTCTGTCCACTCCATCCCAGGAGAACCCCCTCACTGCCGGTGGTGATGACAAAAACGTCTCCAGACATTGCCAGATGTCCCCTGGGAGGCACAGTGGCCCCAGCTGAGGCCCACTGAACAGGGGGAGGGGAGCAGAGCGTTGGGGCACAGAGACCTGTCTGGCTAAAGGCCTGGAAGTTATGTGGCCGGGGAGAAGCAGGGGGTGCGGGCGCAGCCTGTCGGGCCCCGTAGGACTTGAGGCTTTTCCTCTGGGCCACAGGGGCGTTGGCTACAGTGGACCCACACAGGTGGGCCACGGAGCCTGGTGGGAGTGACAGCCACAGCCTGAGCCTGCAAGTGGTAAGGGGGGGCAGACGTCAGAGGTATCACCCCCCTCCTGCCCAGGACATCTCTGCACATGTGGGCACGGTTGGCAGGGCCGTACTCGGGGGGAGGGCCCTGGACAGACTCCAGGGGCGTCGACTGAGCCGCCTTGGACCTCCAGGAACGCCTGGCCTTGGGTGGGCGGGGAGTCTCCTTGGTGTGGGTAAGAATCACTTCTCATTATGGCTGTTATTGCTCAAGGACGGCAGGTTCCATCCTGTCTGGAGGGAAAGCCTTCCCTTCCAAAGCTCTCTCCCTGTGTTGACGGCCATCTCTGCAGAGTTCAACAGCTCGCTCTTACTGAGCGCTGAGAGTGGCTCATGCGTTTCCCCACCCTCAGACGCTGGGGTGCTTGATACTCTTATTTGCTTCCTTTAGGGCGAGGAGGCCAAGTTCGAAAGTGCAGGGTCTTGGGACGCAGGGGAGCCGGCTGGCTCCAGCACCTGCAGCCTCAGTCGCCCGAGAGGGTCTGGGATTTTTCTGCCTGCTGGGCTTCCCAGTGCTGGCTCCCCTGCGCCCCTCGCCAGCCCCGTCCATAGAGGAGAAATCCGAGGCCCAGCGAGGTGCAGAGGTTTGTCTGAGGTGGGCGGCGGTCCAGCGCACGCTCCCGCTGCCTACCGCCCTCAGCTCCTGCGCTTGCCCGCAGGCCCTCCCGTGCCTCAGAGCCTTCGCCGATGCCATTCGCCTGCCAGGAATGCTCCCCAGGGGCTGGCTCTTCCTGCTGCCTCAGCATCAGCCTCACCTCCCCGGGTATCGCCTGCCCCGCCTGACGTAGCGCCCTGTGTTCCTGGCATGGCGTTGGCAGATCGACCCATTTGTGGTCCGGGGCCCGCCCCTGACGCTGAGCTCGGTGCGGGCGGGGGCCGGTCTGCCCTCCCCCAGGCTGTCCTGAGTGCCTCCACATTCCAGGACTGGGCTGCTGAAGACTCTGCCCAGGCGGGTCACAGTTCTCTGGTGGACAAAAGCTGTCATCTGCTGCAGCCTCTCCCAGGTGTTCCAGGAGACTTGGCTGGGTTACATATGTCGCCCGTTGGAGCGACGGGCTGAGGTCATTTCCCTGCTTTCCATTCCCTCGTGTCTGGCCATCACAGTACTGGCTCCTCTTGGTCCCTGGGCAGTTCCTGAACACCTCGTGGGGCTGGGCTCTCAGAACGTTCTCCTCGAACAGACCCTCTTCCCGCTTCCAGGGGGGCTGCAGTAGGGTTGCGGGTCATGGGCCCCCTTCCCTGCATCTCTGGCTCCTTGGCTGAGCGAGGGTGACTCCTGTCTGGTAGCAGAAGCACCGATGGTGTCAGGGGTAGGAAGTGGAAGTGGGCTGTTGGGAGCGAAGAGAACGCTCGTGACGTCATGAGCTAGAAACAGTGAAAGCCAGCCGGCGTGTTTTTCACTAGGATGAGGGCAGGATGGTCAGGCTTAAGACCTGATTAAAAAGAGCCCCTATGGGCGAGGTCCCCCCACCCCGGCCGCCCCGAGCTTGGGAGCTGGCAGGGCCCCGTGGAGTCCCCGGTGGAGCCTCACCCTGCTTTGTCTTTCAGGGCTCTCGGGTCCAGCCTGGGTTCCAGCCTCGCTGAGCAGACGGCCCCACAAGCTTCCTCCCGCGGAAGCTCCCCAGGCGCTGACCATGTCTATTATGGACCACAGCCCCACCACGGGCGTGGTCACGGTTATCGTCATCCTCATCGCCATCGCTGCCCTGGGGGCCTTGATCCTGGGTTGCTGGTGCTACCTGCGCCTGCAGCACATCAGCCAGTCGGAAGACGAGGAGAGCATCGTGGGCGATGGCGAGACCAAGGAGCCCTTCCTGCTGGTGCAGTACTCCGCCAAGGGACCGTGCGGGGAGAGAAAGGCCAAGCTGACCCCACACGGCCCAGACGTCCACGGCTGAGCTGGGATGCGGAGGCCCCGTGGCCTGTTTGCAGCCGGCTGAGAGGCATGGGGAGGGGCGGAACCACAGACGTGCTGCTGGGGACGGCTTGACACCTGCAGGCATGGCCTGGCTGGGCTTCATCACCGCATGCACTGGCTCCTGAGGCCTTGGCCGTCCTTAGCCGGGACGCCTCCTGGTGGGACTGCCCATTGCAGGCAGTGGGCAGGCCTGACCTTGCTGGGGCTCACGACCCCGTAGCGCTTTTGTTACTTGAATGTTGAGCTGAGCCTGTTTTTGATGGAGCTACTACTGTAACGCGTGAACTCACAAACCTGTGAACTGTAAATAGGCCCCAGAAGCATGTGCTGAAGCCTTTTTTTGCTGATTTTTAAAAATACCGTGTAGAGCACATGGGACAGACTGTAGTCATGATAAGCTGACTCAAGGCTGTGGGGGGGGGGTATCTTAGACATGGAAGGCCCACACTGCACTTGGTAGGGGCCTCTACTATATATGTGTGTATGTGTGTGGGCAGAGGACGGGACATGTCTGTTTTAAGTCTCATGGCTGACCAGCTGGGGTACTTTGGTGATTTCTGCTTGGTTAGCAATGGATGGAAGAACCACGCGCCCCCCTTCGGTCACGAAATAACCAGTTCCTGTTGAGAGTGGAGTTACTGCAAGGAAGCCGCCGCCGCTGCTTGAGAGCCGGTGAAGGACGAGCCGGGGCCCGCATCCTGAGGGCTGCCAGGCGGCCTGGTGGCAGAGCAGTTTCTTAAGCATGCTGAGCACTCTCCCCCGCCACTGCTGTCCCCCCCGGCCCGCCCCCCGCAGCATTACTCATCATTAAGCTTCGCTAGGAACACCAGCGCCTGTGGCGGCTACCTTTATCTGAAACCCAGCTGGCCCAGCAAAGAGGAAATAGTGTTTTTTGTTTGTTGTTCTATTTAATACTTTCTGCACTGGAGGGGTGGGGGAGGAGACCTTGAGGGTCCCCCCTCCTCCTTTTCATGCATTAGTCTCCTTTCTTCTCTGAGCACCACCCACCTGCTGGGTACTGGACTTCACTTTCCCCAGCGGGCCACCTAGGAGAGTCTCCTGACCCTGCTCCAAGAGCCCCAAGTGCATGAGCACCCAGGAAAGCCCCCTGGGACGGCGGCCTGACAGCCCACCCCTAGTGGGCCCCAGGGGAGGGCGCGGCGGGGAGAGTGAGTTTCAGGTTCAGGACGGGGTTTCCATGAAGATGAGTTGGTGGCTGTCACTCGGGCCAGCGCCCCCACAACCTGCATCTCCAAGGTTTCCCTTGTGTATACTTCAGTGAACTCGCTGAGATTGTTAATCCCACCACCGTAAAGCACATTCTCCACTATCATGATTAAAACGTGGCTTGTGTCAGCATCCTTGGTAATAAACTGGAGGCCAGCGTGGGCTTAGCCGCGGAGCACTGGTCGGGCTGACGGCAGGTCCTCTGGCCTCACTCAAGTCTCTAACAAGCATGTGGAACTCATAATCTACTTTCTGGAACCCCAAGGAGGGGGCTTAGGGAACACTTCGTTTTAGCAGCATACCCTTCAGTTGGGGGTCAAACATGAAGTGTTAGCTTGTGGGATGGGAGAAGGGTAGCTCGGTAGTGTCTGAGCTGTAGGCGGGAAGGAGACGCCCCAGGGGGCTACTAAGGAGCCCCTGCAAGGCAGCTGGGCCTTAGCACAGGAGACACGTCCCTGGCCCCTAAAACGGGGATGGCCGAGCCTGAGAGGCCGGAGACCGTCAGAGGCCCCCTGGACCGGAGGGGGCCAGCACTCTCAAAGGCGCCCCCTGGAAGATCTGGGAGAAGGCTGGCTTTCCGGTGAAGGACCCTGGAGACCCAACGTGGAAGGTGTAGGGGTGTCTGATCCGTTCCGCTCACATCTCAGAACTTCCAGGCTTTCTACCTCTACTTTCCGCAGCCAGCAGCACACAGCCAGGCTGTCTTCATCTGGGGAACCGAGGAACCCCGGCCCCAGGCCGTCCCTGAACATGATGGCTTTGACTGTCAGACTTGCCCTGAGGTTTGAACTGGTGGCGGTGAAGTTCTGGTTTTGAAATGATGAACCTTCACTTTCTCCTGGGTTTCACTCCTGGGGGTTCCTCATCCCACCTCTGCCCCGGTTGCCAGGGGCAACGTCTTTGCAGTGGCAGGGCCGGGTCAGGGTCGCAGGCTCGGGGGGCACCGGTGGGGGTCTCTGCGAGGCAAGTGGGAGTGCCCGGAGAGGTGGCGAACAACCACATAATAGCGCTCACTGTTCCTATTGATCAATAGCTACTATTTTTAGTGTAGACGCCAGAACCACACATTCACATGGCTTAGTTAAGTTATGACCTCTCATTGAATTCTTTCTGAATAGGCCCACTGTTGTGTTCTGGTCTTCTGACGGGTCAGTCAGGAAATCAGCCTTTCATCCTGCATGTCATCACAGAAGCAACAGTCGGGGAATGGGGAGGGAACTCTTTGTGACACTGAGCCACGAAACTACGGACCTACTTTTCAGACAAATGTTCAAATGGAATGTGTTACTGTTTCTGTCCAAGCTACCAAGTTTGTGCAATAAGTGGAAGGGATGTCATCCCTGTTCAATAAATGCTGAATGACATTCAACTTGATTTTCTAGACCACTGAGAAAATCTTTATTTACAATAAATTTCAATAAAATTTGCATAAATATATTCCCAATGTACAGTTTTCACCTCTGATTTCTTCATGTCATTTTAAAAGTTTGTCTGTCCTGTTCTCATTGCTCCTTTCGGACGCCAGCGTGGAGCTGCTGTTGGAAGGCAGAGGGGTGCTGCCAGGTAGCCGGGGGGGGCCTGGGGGCTCGGGGTGGTCAGAGCCGACCTCCTGTGGGGGAGGGAGGCTTTCGGCTCCGTCCTTGCCCTCCAACTTCCGCTCCATGGTTGCCACCAGGATCTTGAGCCACGTGTTCTCAGTGAGGAGGTTTTCCGAGGCGTCGGCCAGCTCCTGGAGCTTACGGGCCACCTCCTCGAGCTCGCGGGTTTTCTGCTCGTACAGGGCCTGCAGCTGCTGGCTGTGCAGCTGGAGCAGGCTGTGCTGCTTCTCCAGGGTCTGCTTCTGCCGGAGCAGCCGGTGCTCGTCCCTGCGCACACTGGAGAGCTGGGCCTCCACCTGCACCTGTGCGCGCTGAAGGGTGCTGATTTCTGCCCTCAGTTTCTGGATCTCTCTCTCCAAGTGGGAGATGTGCCCCTGCTGGAAGACTGCCTCGCTCTGAAGACACTCTTTGGTAGGAGGGTTAGCTAAGTTCTGGGGGACAGAAGCAGGGTCTGAGTGATGCAAAATGAACCTCAGCAGATTAGGAAGGGTGATGGGAAGGTCTTCGGGGTATTTCACACTACGGTCCTTTCTGGAGAGAAAGGGAAAGGAGTCAAAGGTGAGAGTCCTGTCAACATTCGTAGTCCAAACCACACCACTACTGAAGGTCGGGCTGCTTACTTCCCACCGAAAGACATTCCGAGGATTTTACTTAAAGCGGGGAAAATGTTATCTGGGCAAAAACTTTTCTACGAAGCTGAAGATGTCCCGTGTGCTCATTCTGTAATTAACGTGGCTTATCTCAAATATGTGTTTGTTCCTGAGGACAAAGAGTCCAGTTTCTGGTAACAACCTTCCAAGAAAGACAAGAAGCTCCCAGACCCAAGCCTCAAGCCAGGGATGGAGGGCACCGGCAGCGCATGGGCAACGGGGCCTCCGCGAGCTCTGAGAGGCTCAGGGGCGTGTAAGGAAGGATGTCCTGGGGCAGGACGTCACCCGTGTCACTCCGTGGCTGTCAACAGTGGTGCAATAGGGAAGACTGAACACTCAGCCAGATTTCTTCCGCCAGCATTTATTACACATTATCCAAGGCAGGAGTTCTCAACCCGAGGCGACTATAACCCCCCAGGGGCATTTGGCAACATCTGGAGACATTTTTATTACCACGATGGAGGAGGTATCACTCAAGCCCTGACCCCTGATACAAAGACCAACCAAGGGACTCCGAGAAATTAAGGCCACCCCGCCCTGAAAGCACAGAATAAGGAAGGAAAGTGACATATGAAGGGGGTTCCCCCAAAGCTCTGTTGCAAGTCCTGATGTATAGAAAATTCCTTTTTAGGGGCACCTGGGTGGCTCAGTCGTTAAGCGTCTGCCTTCGGCTCAGGTCATGATCCCAGGGTCCTGGGATCGAGCCCCGCAT